AAAAAAAAAAAAAAAAGGTGGAAGGGAAAATACAGAAAATTTAAAAATAAATTCTGTAAGGCAATAAGCAAAAAGACTAAAAGAAAAAAAGTAGAAGTGCTGAAATGTATACCACACACTAGAAAGTCTAACAGAGGGAGAACTTTACTAGAAGTAACAGAGAATGCAGTCAGGAGAAATAGTCTGGAGCACAGAGGATGGACTAAAGCCGTAGGATATTAGGGAGAAGAATGTGAAAAAAAGAAAAGATGGGATGCTACAAAGCTGCAATGTATCTTACCCTGCCATTTTTCAGCCACCTCAACGAAAGAGTAAACATCTGAGAACTAGAAGCCTGGGGGCTGGAAAGATGGCTCAGAGGTTAAGAACACATATTGTTCCTACAGAAGACCTAATTTTGGTTCTCAGTACCCAAATCAGGTAGCTCACAACCACCTGTAACTCCAGCCTTCAGGGAATCCAACACCTTCTTCTGGACTCAGAAGGCACCTGCACTCATGTGCACATATGTACACATATATACACAGAATTTTAAAAATTAAAAAATATTTTTAAAATGTCCAAGTTTCAGGACAGGATTGCTTCACAGATTTGTTTTCTGTGCATTTTCTGACATGCCATCAAAAGTTGCAAAGTGGATGATCCATGTAGTTTTAAATATTTTAAAGAATGATCTTAGGTTATATACTTGGTCAATTGTCTTATTTATCATCATGTCCAAATCAGCTGCAATGCAGAACATGGTTTTGATAATAAAATTATAGTTTTATGTAAATATTCTCCTGTTTTTTTAACATGTTATTTCAAATATTACTCTTTACCCTGAAATTCATGTTTTCTTTTCTGAGAACAATAATATGGATGAAATTATATGTTTTGTTTTTTTTTCCTGGAGCTGAGGAATGAACCCAGGGCCTTGCGCTCGCTAGGCAAGCACTCTACCACTGAGCTAAATCCTCAACCCCCAGGGTACTGTTTGATTTGGTTTTAATTCCTATCTTCAAAAGATAAATTTATTTTTGGTCTTTTTGAGTTGTGCAATGCCTGCGGAGGACAGAAGAGGCTGTTGAATCCCCTGGAACTGGAGTTACAGACAGTTGTTAGCTGACATGTGGGTGCTGGGATTCGAACCTGGGTCTTCTGCAAGAACAACCAGTGTTCTTAACCACTGAGCCATCTCTCCAGCCCCTTAAAATAATATTTTATAAGCAGGGTGTGGTGGCACATGCCTTTAATTCCGGCACTTGGGAAGCAGAGACAGGTGGAGCTCTGTAAGTCCAAGCCAGCCTGGTCTACATAGTGGGTTCCAGGCTAGCTGAAGCTACAGGGAGACCGTATCTCAAAAAGACCAAAAAAATTTTTTTATTTATTATTTTTATTTTTATTTGTATGCATGTATTGCCTACATGTATGTAAGTGCATTTGTGTGTGGAAATGCCCACGGAGGACAGAAGAGGGCATCAGATACCCTAGAACTGGATTTATAAACAACTGTTAGCCGCCATATGGGCGCTAGGAATTGAACCTAGGTCTCCTGAAATAAGTCAGTGCTCTTAACCACTGTGCCATCTCTCCTGCCCATGAAATTATATTTATAGAAGTCTGGAATTTTGTCTTTCTTAAAAATACTGTCTCAAAAAGACCAAAAAAAAAAAATTCCATTATTCCAGAGGAATAATGTTTATTATTACTGGGGGGATCCAGTAAAAACACACTAGAAAATTGATTATATAACTGCATGTATCCTAGATTATGCTAGAGTCTTTTAAGATTCTCTGATTAAATATGCTACATGTATATAGTGTCAATATACTTCATACATAGTGAATACTTAAAATTTTGCTGAAAAGAAATTATTGGTGGAGTACTAAATCACTAAAGTTCTCTGTTGCAACTGATTAAGGAAAAAGTGTAAATTCTACTACTATGTAAAATGTGGAAGGAATCCAGGTGATAATTTTTTGGTTTTCAG